GTAACAATAAATTACTGAACTTAAACTTTTTGTTATGCGAATAGTAAATATTTTACTTCTAAGGAACGGCGCCAACAAAAGTATAGGTATTACAACGAAAGATAAACAAATCGATGTAAAAGACCGCAGTTCAAATACAATTAGATTGTGGTTAAACTTTAAATTCCAAACCTTCATTTGGTTGATTATTCATCGCGAAGATCTCAGCAAAAAGTGACGGAAGCACTAAACGATATCGGTTCGCTCGGTACCACGAAAGTGTCGACCAGTGCATTTTACCTAAACTTGTAGGGCAATTAACAGCAAAATGAAAGAATAAAGTGTATTTACTTGCCAAGGATTGTATTCTTCAGCGAATATGACCTATTTAGAGTAGCCTGCAGCCAAAAGGTTTTTAAAACATTTTTTTCTGTAAGGCTCGCTAGAGAGCTAATTTGAACTCACCGATATTTTCTAGTTCTTGACATTTTTCAAAGATATTCTGCATGAAATCTGGTTGTGAAGGGCGGGTTTTGTTGGCATGCGCCGTTAATGCGTCTATAATTTGCAGACGCAGTCGTTGCACAGCATCTTTTTTGACCAAAGAACGGTCATCTGTAAAGATATGCAAAATTACATGATTAATTTGCTGGGAAAAGTAATATTTTTTTGATAAATTAAGGCAACCGTAAAACAAATATGAATGAAGGCGCTAAGAAAAGGCGCTGAATGAAGGCGCTAAGATTGCTTACCATCTACCAAAAGCGCAAGAGCCATCATCAGAGAAATTTCTATGTCTGTCAGATACAAATAGTTTAACGAGGCCATTGTGTCGTGAATTTTCAGAGTCAATTCAACTCCATACAAAAGCTCCAACTGTTGACGGCTAATTGTTACACCATCAGCAAAACTGAGTTTACCTGTTGAACTGTACAGATGCAACGACTGTATCAACCACATTGCAAAAAATCCTCTTTTAATCAATTCTTGTTCGTCGGGTGAAGGTAGTTCCAAAAAGCCTATTAAAAACACTATTACTATGTATCAAATAAAATTGTTTTTATCAAACAGTTTTAAGAAAGAAAAAGACTAATTTTTTTGTCTAACATGAGTTCTACTAGAAATCTGATAAGCCAAAAATTGGTTGGTAAACGACGATAAAACAATGTTACGCAGAAAATTTTTTAACCAATGAGTTGTTTTTATATTTACAATAGGTTCAGTAAACTGATATAAATCAGAAAATCATTTAAAGACACATAATTATAATAAAAGTGAAGGCGAGCTTAAAAAAAGCGTTGAAGCAATTATTAGTAGTGCGAACACTTATAGAAAAAAAGAATGACGAATTTTAATTGAAAAGTTTAACTATAAATCCTTCCCCGCTCTAAACTTGTAATGTAAAAAAATTTTTAGTGGTTAGAAAGTCAACACACCTGGTATACATTTTACAAATCCAACTATACGTTCGATTTCTGGTAATATTTTGCATGCAATACTGGTCAACATTGCCAGCTGTCGCTCTTCCATTAGTTCTTGGGTACTCATTGGTTCATCTTCGTTTGTTGGCTTTTGTTTGAATTCCGGCAAAAAAAAAGAAGTAAATAAATAAAATAAAAGTTTATAGCGACCTCTAAGTTCACGATGAAAAAAGCGATGCAAAAAAATATCTGCCATTTTAGAAGAAAATTTCTGAGAAGCTTTAACAAACCAAAATCGTAATGATTAACAACTGTCAATAAAATCTCCATCAAAATAATTTTTGTGAAAAATTAAAGTTATTAAGCTTACAAATTCAAATGGACTTTCTTGAACCGGTGCAAATTTGTTAAGAGCACAATAAGTGCTGTAGGCGTGCGATATATGCATTATAAGTTCTGCAGAAGTATCGGGGCGTGTAATTCCTGCTTGAGTCTGTTGCTCGTCTTTTCTGTCACCTTTCCATTGGCTTAGAATCGCTTGGTCAGTACGAATTGTTACGTTGCTTCGTATCCGTTTTGGTTGTCTACCATATCGGACTGCAGCAGTTGTTTTTTTTGCAAAATGCAACAGACAAAGAACGAAATTAGTGTTTTAATTGCGAATACTATGTATTGAGTAAAAATAACAGTGGTTCTACCAAAATTTGCCTACTATTTTTTGGTTTAATTTGTTATCTTTGCGGCATTAATAATAAGCACTGTTCAAGTTAAGACATCGTCTTTCTAAACACTTACAATCTCGAGACATGCCAACATCAACGCATTTCTTGAATCGACAATACTGACAACGATTTCTGTTCATTCGAGATATCTGACACTGCCCGTCACGCATACAGCGATATTCCATGCACTTTTGAATACTTCGTCGAAAGAAGCCCTAAAATATTTTAGATTTCCAGCTTTTGTGGCACCAATTATTGAAGACAGTAGAGAGCTGTTTCTGAATCCCAATGTTTGTCATTTTTTTGCTCAAAAAATTTTTGCAGAAAAAATTCTCATTTCTAGAAGAAAAAAGTGATTCAGACTACTAATACGTTTGACAAATTTACACTTGCTCGCGAAATATTTCAAAAAAAAAGAAGAAAATTTAGCAAAAAACGTTGAGATATTAAAAAATTGGAAGTTAGAAAAAACTAAATAACTATTAAAAAAAATAACAATTTGAATTTGGAGTACTGTATCTTTCGCCTTGTCTTTCTGTTTTTAAACAGAGAAGTGCTTACTGTAATTATTTCTGCAAGAATTACAGAACTTTTTTGCTCCATAGCTGATTTATGAAATAAAATTGAAAAAAACTGGACAGTTACTGTAACAACAGTTTTTGTCTTATTTATATATTTCTTTTTTACTTTTATGAATATTTTTACCACTAAATATTATTTATACTGTTGCTGTTGTTTCCAGTCACTAAATGTCGTAATTTGTCTCCTTCATTCAAGCGCCTTTTTTCTTGTTTTTATTACTCTCCCATATTTAGGGTTGGTGGGAGCAAAAAAGTGCTAAAGAAGATTGGTTTTTATGTTATAGGTGGAGTACGATGTAAAACAACGCCAATTCTGAATGTGAATTCTTGAGGAATAAAATAAGCGTAATGTGAGGGTTAGTTTTATTTTTGCTTAGGATGTTGAAGGAGAAGAAGAAATTGCGCAACAAAACGCGGGCCCCTTGCCCATCCTCCGCTCCCAAAACAACCGCAGCAACAATAAAAAAAAATTCTCCTTTTGATTTGCAGTTTTTTGCCTACGCAATAATTGCATATTATGCAAAAAAGTAAATAAATGAATAAGAATGAAAAAACTGTAAAATAAAAGACGAAAGGAAGAAGAGAATGCTGAGAGGACAATTTTTTATAATTATTAAAATCAGTACGGATTGGTGAGTTAATAAAAATAAAAATAAAACCAGTCGATAAATTCAGCACAAAACGACTAAAAAAATTTTCAAACTGCCACAAATAGAAGAATATTTAAAAACAATGAATAAACTTCAAGCTGGTTGAAAATTGAGATAAACAATCAGAGCTATGAATTGTTCTCTTTTTTCTATAAGTTTCAAAAATTACATAGTTTTGCTGGTCAAAAGTTAGAACTTCCTTAGCAGCATCTTGTACGCTCAAAGGTTATTTTACAGTATACCAAAATAATAATTGAAAAGGTTGCTGTTGTATCTGTAAAATGCTTACTTCCTAACAATTTTTTCAATTTTGTTTTTGTGCGGAAAGAAAGCTAAAAATTGCCTGCCATCGTAATAAAAGACCTGTCGTTTAAGATATTGAAGTTCATTTTTCTTCTCCTGTCTTTTTCTTTCTTTTTTGGAAATCTCACTATAGCAAAAAGCAGCAGTCGGCAGTTCTTACAAATTCGATTTATAAAAACAAAAAAAAAAAAAAGAAGAAAAACTATAAAAAGTGTCATTGTTTAGGTAGTTTTCTTGAAAAAATAATGTCCAAAAACAGACAGTACGCACGGTTAAAAGAGACACCTTGCAACCCTCGCACGAAGTAACACCGTAATGATAGCCACTTGCTTTATCGCCGCATACTGTGCACAGCGAAAAGTGCTTTTCCGTGCATCCTCCATTTGTGTCGCTGCTGCTGTTGTTGTTGCCGTTAAGCGGAGGACCTGAAATGCAAATAACGTATATGCTGTCCACTATTATGTTCTTTTCAATTCTACCCTTCCTTTTTTCTTCTCCTAATAATCAAATTAAGTAACTGAGTGAAAAACTGAAAGTAATTTACAGAATAAAAAAGCAAAAATTATTAACATTTTTCTAATCAGTTATTTTTTCTCAGTTATTTATTATTACTTTAGTGATCGTGACTTACACATTAGACCTAGCAGACTAGCATCTAAGCTTTTATACTTTTGAAAATTCACTTTTTTCTGTATTAAAAATGATAAAAAACAGGAGAAAAGCAGAAAAACTTCTAAAAATTTCTAAGAAGTTTTTAAGATATAGAGAGAAGTCAACAAGATTGATGAAAGTGGTAGAGGCTGTTAAGGCTTCCCTAGCAGGTGAACGTTCGCATAATTTGTTACTTGTATATCGTTCTTTTTTCTTCTTTTTGTGAACTGCATATGTAAACATTCTGGAAGAGTAAGGTGAGGCAGAAAATAATAAAATCTTAACCTTACTAAAGGATGAGGAGGAAATGCTTAATAATATATTTCTACATTTCCTTCTCTAACTATTTTGTTTCAAATCCAGAATATTCATTCATGTACACCTTATTTTTTACTTATTGAGCCTGAACTTGAGTGGCCAGATAATGGCAATTTTCAGTGAACTCAACTATTCGATAAATAGACACTTTAAAGATGCTATAAAACTTAACGCCTAATACTGCCCTGTGTACTGTAATCAAAAAAGAAAATAGAGATTAAATAAACTGAAGGACTACAAATATTAAACCTAATTTTGCAGAACACCTAAAGTCTTCTCAGGCTTATGCAAAGTATTTCGCTCAATGATCAAATAAAAGACAATAAAGATTTTTTTTTGGTAAAATTACTCGTTGTATTTCTTGTTAAAAGAAAAAAAATAAAAACTTAGAGGATCAAAATCAAAATTTACTTTTATTTGAAGAATGCTGTTTTACGTAGTAGGCATTTTGGTTAGACGGCTGAAAACTTGCACGTGAAACTAGTGCTACTGATTGCTGTGAAGAAATTTCGTTCGAAGATTCGTAAAAAGTGGTCACGGATGAAACGTAGCTGTTAGGCCTCGTAGAGGTCGCTGGCGTTATCGCTGCTACAGGATTAGAATATCCAGCAACATTGGCTGCAGTGGACGAAGACGCGGTGCTATTGTAATATTGGTTTGGGTATGAATTTGGCCATCCAAGGGAAGTTCCCGAGGTAGTAGCAAGGACAACTGATTCGTCACAGATTTCACTGTTGTGACCAATGCCAAAGATGTGTGGCGTTAGCTCAGAAATGGCAGGCGAAGAAATTACAGATGAATATGGTACAGTTGTATGAACAAAATTCATTGCCAGACTTTAAGCTTATTTTATATAGTTGTAAATTTTTTGAACCTACTTTTGAAGCGTAAATTAAAAAGTGTAAACAAACGTCAAACAAGACGTATGTTAGTCAGAGCAGATAAGTCTGATACAAAAAGTGACACTAAAAAAACCAGTCAAGCTACATTACTTGTTATCTTAGTTAATACCATTTAAAAAGTAGTGAAGACTCATTGGATGAAAAAACCAGTCAATAGACGAAAGACTACGCAATCGACTTGGAAACGTTGGGTCAGACCAGCGAAACTAGCGTTCGCCTAAGCCGAAAGGTTGAGGAGAGAGCGGATCATAATTTGTGGTTGAAGGAAAGACAGTCAGTGGTAGACGATAAAGCAAAAAACTGGCCATTGAATCGCCAGATCTGTCCAGTGGGCTGATCAACAATAATTTTTTGTTCGGTATAATGGTCAAAAACCAATAACAGATAGCAGCATTTTTAGAGGAATGTGTATCGACATACCCAAACAAAAATACAACAGTCCCTGTCAAATAAGTCGCAGAAAGGTCAGCAGCAGCTCAGGTGTTTCGTCGGTGATAATAGAGAGAATAGAAACAGAAGAACGGCTAGGATCTTTTTTTTTTAAACACCACTGTAAAACCGAGTAAAAAAGAGGAGAAGGCCGTGAAAAACATGATTAACGGCTTTCAAAACAGAAACGTAGCCTTATTATTTGAAAAAATTTTCCTAAAAGCAAATACTTAAACTTCAATTATCTTCCAGATCTCTCATAAATCACGTTATTGAACAAGCTTGCAAAAGAGAATAAAATTACCAGCAGGATGATACAAAGCTGAAATTCGATTAATCAGTGAAGTTTGGAGTCAACTTCTTTTTACTGCAAAGCGAGTAAGGTGCAAAACTTTTTTAATGGTGACCTTGTGCCGTTCACTTAAAAGTACTGGTAATCCATACCTCACAAAGAAAGTATTATCTGTAACCTAAAGAGTGAAAATTCTTTGTAAAGAAAACTTACTTTTTTTTTAAAAAAAGTGTATATAAACAACACTAGTTTATAAAATGATAAGTAAAAATTTTATTTATAAAAAATATTTTTCTGCACGAAAAGCAAATAGTTTTATCAAAATTAACGCTAAAAAATGATTTACAGCGATCAGAATAAGAAAAAAAGCAAAACGACCTACTCCATATTTAGAAAAAACGAGACTTTATTCAAGCTTTTGTTGTTCAATTAAATAGTTCTATACACTTAAAAAATAACAACGCTTAGTTCGGGAAAACAGTGCTTTAGTAAACTCTGTTCCTCAATTTTGAGCAGCAGGCTAATCAACGCCACTTCAGACAAAAGCTGAAAAATCTGTGTTAAGCTTCTATAACTAGTTCAAACACCGACATGTTCGCTCAGTAAAGAAGAAAAAGAAATGCTGTTAAAATTTGGAAACGAAGCAAAGAAGTTACTCTATCCAATTAACCATATAATAATAACAAAACAGTCAAGTTACTTTCAAAGATTAAAGATCCCAGTACCTCCAAACATGACAGATCGTTCCGTATTTAATGCAAATTTTTGAACTTTGCTGTGATGCGTCATAACTTTAATTCTGTCTAAAACTATTCGCATTGAAAAAATTGAAACCACAGCAAGTCTGCTTACTTGAGAAGAATTTTCACATCTCACTGGCATGAGAGTTTATGAATTTAACGCTGAAAAGTGCTATAGACAGTTCTATATGCTAAACTATTCACATTTTTTCTATAAATGACTTACCTACCCCAAATTTCTAAGAAAGCAACGAGAAATAGTAGAAATACCAGAGAGCAAAGCAAATTTGAAAAAATATTACATGGTACTTCATTACTTTTTTTTGTGCTGTTGAAAACGCATAACCTTAAGTTACCACGCAATAACAATACTTTTCTTCTGCCTACAACTTTTATAATCATTTGTCTTCAAATTATTATTTTTATCTTCCAGTTAGAAACGAGACTTTTCTGCAATGTCATTCTAGTCACTGATTTTAAAAATTATGTGCATTTCAAAGACGTTTTACCAAACCGTAATTTTTATTGTCAGCTGATATAGATTCAATCTCACTATTTGCTCAAAACAACTACCAGCATCAATCTGTTGTTCAATCTCTTTCTAGTTTTTAATAAGCACTTAACTTCTATCGTGTGTAATAACCCGAAATAAAAAATAATACTTTTTTTGTACGTACAGATTTTCACCAACTGTTCGGTCATAAAGTTTCATTTTTGAAACCATGTTACATGCAAGCATTTTAAAATCTTTCTTGACGACTTCTGTCAAATTTCAGTTATGTTCATCAAGAAGATGTTCTTCAAGAATGCCTGTCTATTTCTTTTTTCTTGTTATATCTGCTTACTAAAATAGTTTTTTCGCTTATTACTGGAGAAGCACTCTCTCAACATAGTTACAGGTAAAAAAGTAGCATCAGTTAACAACAAAATCCTGACAAGTGGGTTTCCCAGAAATGCTTTTCTATTATGTTATGATTTTAAAAAAAATTTAGCACTTTTTACTCTGTTTGGCGTGACTGCTAGTCCTTATAAATAGTCCAACAACTTTTGAAAAATGAATCAACGACTTAAAAATGACTGTTTTATTTTAGGTTGGAATCTAACCCGGTAAACCCTACTTTTTGAAAATGATTTTAGCTATTAGAATTTACTGTTTAGCTGTAAGAAGAAGGAACCTTCTATAAAAATTTATCTATTGCAGAGTTAAGCAAAAAGAAAACGTAGTTTTTGGAAGACCTTTATTCTTGAAAAATCATGACTGTTTTTGAGAACCTGAATTTCTACAGTATCTTGATGCAAACACGGCACAAACGGAAAAAGGGTTAACAGAAAATGGTGCAAAAAAAAAATTCAGCATTGCAAAACTCACACTGTCAAAAATGTCGAGAATTTTCCTTCATTTTCGAAATAAGTTTTTGAAATTTTGTAGTTCTTAAATAAACACCTTTTATAGACCAGTCCAGACAATGTTGACTTCTTCAGAGTTATCTCAGCCGATTTTGAAGGCTGCAGCTAATCCTGTGTTTAAGAGATGTCTCGGAAAAAATTAGTTTTATTTCCATTTCTACAGCAAAACAAAGTTTTTAAGGAGAACAGAAAAATAAAGATTCTGCAGTGTCGTGGTAGGTTTGTGGAATACTTTTGACACCTAAAATACTTATTTTTTTATCACTTCGCTCTAAGTTACTCTTAATTCTATTTTCTTTACATTTTGTTACCCAGAGCACTACTTCACTTTTGCCGAGAAAGAAGAATAACCTTTTTTGCCTAAATCCGGCGGAAATCTGCGTACCATAAGCTATTCTGCATAAACAGCACAGCAGAAATTTTGTGAATGAGAAAATAGAAAAAAGTAAGATGCGCAAATCATTAAACAGATATTTTATTCGAGAAATTTAAAACAGCATAACCATAAATAACGGTGAAAGTCAACGAGATCTCGGATTAGTGCTAAAAGACAAAATATTTAATGGACTAATAAATATCGCCGATTCAAATAGAAAACGGTCAGGAAGCTCGAAGAATACAGAGAAAATTTGTATAGAACAATGGTACAGATTTTTAGACTTTAGAAAATGTGCTTACAGAGTATAGTTACAATCCACCAGACTACATTTTCTCAGAACTGCAAATCTTTTGAGCCTGTAATTTGAAAAAGCATTAAATGCCAAAAAAAGTTAGGAAGAAGCAAAGAAGTAAATAGATAAATCTCCATTTGCTACAAATAAATCAGGGACGAGGTCGGAGAATCTACACGAGCTGCTTCACTTCATAGAGTACACTTTTTCTGAACGACTTCATAGATTATTATTATTTTTCACCAAATTTCAAAACTCGGTTTTCGGTTGAAAAACCAGAAGAGATTACAACCAAAATCTAGTTGGTAGGAAGGTTAAATTATTTAAAAGTGCGAAGAAAAATATACATGGTGCTAAATATGGTCGTCTTCAGCGACTAGCAACTCTGCCCATTTGCAACAAATTTTTAAAATTTTTTTGCTTCTTCTGAAACTTTCCTTCTACAGAATTACAAAGTTGGTGAGACATGCATTTCGAAACAGCTTTGTCAACGTTTACGGCCAAATTTTTAGCAAAATTGCAAACTAACAATAAGGATAATAACAATAACAGTAGTAACAACAACAGTAATAACAACAACAATGATAATAATAACAGTAATAATGATGACAGCAGTAACAATAGCGGTAATAACAATAAGACTAACACTGACAATAAAAATAACAAGAACAATTACAATAATATTATAATGATAATCATAATCATAATAATAATGATAACAGCAAAAATATAAATATAAATATAAATATAAATATAAATATAA